AATATTGAACACGGTGATATAGCACAATTACAGTTTCAAGGTTTGCATGTAGACCTTCTCGTGCAGATGTAGTTTTTGTTACCTTAGGTTTTATTAGGGAGTTTCCTTAGCTTATGAATATGTAAAACTACCCCTGCACTATTTCCGCAAAATATAAAACTCAAACAAAACCTTTTAACAACTCTTAACTTGAATCGTATGTAATCAACAAAAGCAGTAAAACACAACTGGCAACAAACATGGAATTAACATTCAAATTACATACAAGTTAATAAATTCAGGAATTCACATTTCCCGTTAAAGCTTTGTTGTGATATTCATGTTGGCACATGTAGACATATTCCTGGTGCGTAAAACGTTTACCCCTTCAGCTGTAATTCCAACTTGACACGCTATCCTGATTATGTAGACCTCTGAACTAGGACGATGTGTGCACAGGGCTGGTTGATCCAGTGTTTAGGAAGAGATCAGGTGGCTGGCGGGCTTGCACTGTCAGTCTTACGCCTTGCAACTGGCCTGAATAGGGCGTGATAAGAAATGGATTTTAATCTTGTTTATTCAACCGTGAGGTTCGATTTCAAAACGGTTAACAAGCGGCGTTTTCTGACTGTGATATGAGCTAGAGTCGATTGTGTGAATGGAAAATTAGAACGGTTAAGGCAGTCACGCACATCTATTCGCTATTTCGCAAAACGTTCGGTTGAACCTTACCGATAAATGAGAGCTATATCTAGGCATCAGCACTGACCGCCCCATATTATTGCTGCTGAGCAAACACTATTTTTTTAGGTATGACACCTGCTCTTTCAAATATTATTTCTTTATTTTAAGGTTAAAGTATTTTCAGGTTCAAGCGGTATATAATAATCAGTAATAATACTTGAAAAAATGTTATATGGCAGTGTAATATATTGTTAAACAATGATTGTAACTGTCTTACGTTGTTTCTGATGAGATTCAGTAAAAGCTCATTGCACTCTCTTTGGGCAGTTATTAGCTGTCAGGAATGTGGTACTACTTAATGTAAGAAGTGGTGAGGAAGTTATTATATTTATATGCTAGAATTATCTATAAACATCCGGAATAGCGTGGTTGAAGGACGTCAAGTGTTATAGAAATATTCTGTGATGTTCAAGTGACACTGGACTGGTCTGGTACTGTGTAGAAAGTGATGGAAGCTGGTTAGATTATGTAAATCGAGCGTCCGCGTATACCTGTCTCATCTCACATTTCATCTGACATTACATCAAGACCAGCTTTCGTGTGAGGATCACTTATCATCCCGGATTCCCAGCCTAGGCCTATCTCTGTTGCGGCGAGGCGATTGTTATTCTTGTCATTGTTATTCCCACTGATCCCACATTATATACTGCCATTGAATATTGTACAACAAGTCTATTGCGTACTGCCATTGTAGTTGTTGAGCAGGTATTTGTATTGATTTGTAAACTTAGTTAATTTATAATAAAATCGTTAATTGAATACCATTTGTTGATTCTTTGTCGGTTTCACACTAAGTTCTTTTACGTACAGATTTCGGGGTTAACATATTGTTTCAATTTGGGAATCGACACGTAACAAACTACAGCCCACCCGACCAAAGCACAAAGAACTCTTTTACTCGGGGTTGATAAATACTCCTTACCACGCAAGACGTTTCCGGTGTTTTAAAGAATTGGGACAAAAGGACCGGAAGCAGGCACCTCGTGAGATGGTATCAGGATGGCGGGGAAAACAGCTTAAATCCACCTGTTCCAATTTTTACAAACATGGTGTTCCCCAGTATGGTGATACATGTAAATAAGCAGTGACCATTTAAATACATCTGATAGAATCTCACTGATGCGTCAGATTTGGAAATGACCACAAGGTGTCTCCCGTCAAACATTTTGAAAGTTTTGCAGAGACCCTGAATGTTGTAACCCTAATCAAACAATGTTTGAGCAAGAGTAGTTTGACGCTTTTGAAATCTTTGTAGGAAGAGCTTGTTCGATTGTACCTCGACAGTTGTGAGATGTAGAGTGAGTGAGTGAGTTGTGTTTAACGCCGCTTTTAACAGTATTCCAGTTATATCGCGGCGTGTCAGCTTAATGTGGGAGGAAAGCCCGAAGTGATGCAGGTTTCAGACGTTTACCACTTCGGTGAAACCCACGAGCACGGGTATGGTGCTGACAAACCTAGAAACATAATCGGGGCGAACCGGGATTCGAACCCACAATCAAAGGTTTCTGGCGTGTCCACGGGACGCAACTCTGCACAGCGAATCGCGGCGCCCTGGACGACTGGGCCACCCGTGCCCCCTGTGAGATGTAGACATCACATGCTACACTGAGTCCAGGTCCGAGATATGTTTTCCCACAAAACAAATACCGGTAGCTTTATGTGACATTTTTATTTTCTGTCAAAATCTGACTCACATACACGACCCATGCTGGACTTGACACTTGGGTACACAGAAATCAAATACTACATTGTAATTCTCGGCCATTGATTCAGCGATTGTACTCACTATGGTCACAAGTATATATACTTCTTCTCAGTCTTGTTTAATGCGAGTGAGTGAGTGAGTTTTGTTTAACGCCGCTTTTAACAGTATTCCAGTTATATCACGGCGTGTCAGCTTAATGTTGGAGGAAAGCCCGAAGTGAAGCAGGTCTCAGACGTTTACCACGTGATACCAACGAGCACGGGTATGGTGCTAACAAACCTAGAGACATAATAGGGGCGAACCGGGATTCGAACCCACAATTATAGGTTTCTGGCGTGCCCAAGGGACGCAAATTTCGACGCCTTAGACGACTGGGCCAACCGTGCCCCATGTTTATAATGAACTAATAGAACACATATACTGTGCTGTGAATCACTAACCCGTAGGGAGGCGGTCGGGTAGCCTTGTGGTTAAAGCGTTCGCTCGTCACGCCGAAGACCCGGGTTCGATTCCCGACATGGGTACAATGTGTGAAGCCCATTTCTGGTGTCCCCCGCCGTGATATTGCTGGAATATTGCTAAAAGCGGCGTAAAACCGTACTCACTCACTCACTCTAACCCGTAGAATGCAGCGGAACTGATGTGAAGATTAGAAGATTAAAGTTACCCAAAGGAAGACAGTGAATCAGAGCAACATGCTGAATAAATATCGAAATATACACAATAACAGCTGCAGGTTCATGCAACAAAAAATACATTACATAGGGGGATCCAGAGGGAGTCCGTTCACACACACCCCAAGACCCCACCCACCCCACCCCCCACCCCCTTGAAAACCAACTTTAGTATGGCGTAGGCAGTTTACTAGAGAGGATTTTGATATTTTGGACTCCTCCCTTTTAAAAATGCCGGATCCTCCCTTTCATAAATACAAACAATTAATTATCGCATATCAATAATTAATAATTATTCGTTACTTGATACAGGGTAACATCGTTTCCAGTCGATCGTCCAGATGAACATAGTTCCTGGTTTATGGAGAGTACGAAATAATATTATTTGCATTATCTACAGAGGAGTCCTAATAACAGGGTTTAGCTGTATTCACAATTTAATTGCATCACAAACGATACAATCTGAAATATTTTTTATCATTTTGATCTATGTACGATGTCTTTCAAGCACTGCACTTGGAGTGATACACATTGACATTGTTAACAGACAATGAAAGACCACATCCGGTTGGAGTTTCCATAGGGACATATTGGTCATCTGTAAATTGCACGACCACCCCAATTATACACCCATACCACTGTTCACAGACAATTCGTCTTTCAGTTTTGTTTTTAGTGTCTATGTTTCGTTATTAAATATATGTTTCGATGCCCATTGCCTACGTCACGCTCAATTAGGAAAAAACACATTCAGATAAATATAAATAGACATTACACTCCTCAGGAAAGTAACCCTAAGAAAACAGTAATCTAATTTGAGATTATAGTTAACTGAAAATTAGTACTAACTTTGATGGCATGGACTATATCATTCTTATGTGTTAGTCAGCCTGGTTCCCTGGGTATGCTGCGCTGCCGCTACACTGAGCGCCAGCGCAGCATGCCCAGGGAACCAGGCTGATGTGTTTGTCCGATGTTGAATTTACACCAGTTTTCACAAGCTCCGTCAGAGTACATAGGCATGTGGTGGAATATTTAATTACCATTAGGTCCGAAACCATTTACTTATAAGCTACCCAAATATTTAGACTGAACATGTATACTCACCGACAAAAGAAACGCGAATGCCATACATGTTGGTTAATATATAAAGAATTTCTCACATTCAAGAGATATTTGAATGGTTCGACGCACAAACGAACATACTGTTAAGTTGTTTGAATCGACGCTCATGAATGCATCACATGTGACGTCATAGATCCATGACTCGAGATGCACCATTTGTCTCGTGCAGGATTAGAGTGTAAAGTTTGGAAATCACGTGCAGCATATCGTGATAAGAATAAAGACACTCTGTGCGAACAGTTGACTGATTGTTAGTTTTGTCAATAATTGTTACACATTGGAAACATCTCTTCTTAAGGTACACATTTCTGTATATTTAGTGATATAACACGACTCGGTCGTGACAAAATATTTTTAGAATGGGATGGAAAGTGCGGAACAGCAGATAGCTCCATCACAGCTACCGACTGTATATTCACCGCACTACTTCACGACCGACCAGGGGTGGTGGCATTTGTCGTTGTGAGGCAAAACGGGGTCAAATGTCACATATCAAATTATGTTTCACATATCAAATTATTCCTTTCAAACTGATACACATCGATAACGGGAATTGATATATAAAAGGTCAGATAGTTTACTGTTATGCGTTTCTAGAACAAACATGTTGCCGGGAGGTGACACACAACGATAACGGGACTTGATATATGAAGGGACAGATATTCAACAGTTACACGTTTTAAGAACACGCACGTTTCCGGGGGGACATTTTATTTCATTACATATCAATTGAAAACCAGCCAATCAATGTCGGGGTATGATATCAGACAAGTGCGCCCGAGACACAAGACGGAGATCATCCAGATGGTAACAGTAGTAGCACAAGGTGATATAACACACCCGAGCGTCAGGGGACCAGGGCCCACATGCACAAAGCGATCTTAGGGCGAAGACTATTGTAAGCCTATGTTAAAGTTTGGGAGTTAAGATCCTATTATCGCTAAGAGCGCTTTGTGCAAGTGGACCCAGGATAACATTGGAAGCAAGTGTTGCTGAAGTGCCTGTTTAGTCTTTTACAGTCTGCTTGCACAATGACTGATTGAGTTTTTGGTTTCAAGCATTTCACGCAATATTGAATGTCACACATACACACTTAAACCATTTGGGTATTCGAGCCGGGTTTTCGGTGTCAGAAACAACGCTTAAACTGGGTTTCCCACTTCCCATCATGATCTCAGTTGCTATTAACTCTGCTTGTTGGTACAGGGAGAAGGTCCAGCCTCGGGTCCAGCCTCGGGTCCAGCCTCGGGTCCAGTGTCTCCCTGACCCTGAAAACACCATCCCCATCTCGCCGAGATAAAAGTTCAGTCTCCACCCTTGCCGAACTGGGCTGCAATGTCCAGGCTCGATCGTAGCGCCACCAGTGGCTATTACTAGTTATGTCCTTTCCATTTCCCTCCTATTGACCAATCAGATTCCACCTCTCTCATATCACTTGTATTTTCTTCAAACAAAATGGCGGCGCCCTGTCAAGACGATCTGATCGTTTATCAAGATCAATTTTGTAATAGAACGGGTCTTACCCCACGAACTGCATCAAATCACTTGAGCACCTTGACTAAAACATGAAAAGATTTGGTAAATATCTGTCGACACACAGTCAGCGGTACACATGCTTTGCAAATGCTGCAGTCGACTGAAATCTGCATGTTGAAATCCATGTTGTTTACGAACCGGATGTCTAGTTCTTTAACTGATTTTTATTGGACTATGCATAGACTCGTTAGTCATGCCAAAATGTAACTCCGGGATCCTTTTATAGCCAGTTAACTCCCTTGCCTCGGGAAGATGCACGATCCCCCGCTTAACTCTCCTCACCGTCACACGTCAGAGCTCCAGGCTCCGGACCACTGTGGTCCTGACCGTAGAACACGAGGCCGGTGTTGTAGAGATGCTGCTGGTGCCGGGGGTCGATCCTGAGGTACCGACAGTTGAACCTCAACTCTTCCATGTCCTCCACGCTAGGAATGGTCAAGGATTTCGCTCTTGGGACATACCCCAGCTTAATCTTTTCATTCTTAACCTGAATCTTCTGCCGTCGTTCCTTCTTCCTTTGAGCAACAGTTCTGGCAGTTCCTTTTCTAGCTGGGGGGCTGACCACGTCCCCTCGGTCCCAGAATGTTGTGGATTTCGCTGGATCCGCTCTTTTCGTGTACAGGCGTCGTTCAAGGCTGTATACTTCGTCCCCTACTATTGCATTTTTCTTGTGTGCAGACTGCAGCAAGTCTGCGAAGATGACTCTGTCGTTGTAGGTGGTGTTGATGCCGGTGTAGTGCAGCTGAAGATTCCTCAGGCCAGGTCGAGCTGGTGTCAGGTATTGGTTAGTTTTGCTAAACATGTCATTTTTCTTATGGAGAAAGGTTTTCGATTTTTCGAATGCTGGATCGTAATATGATTTTTTCCTTCCGGGGTTCACGTTTTTGTAATCAGCTTCCACAGTATTTGATTTCCACGTCACTTCACTCACCTTTCTCTCCTTTCCTGGTTTTAAAGATTCATTGTCTTTGGTTTGAGAGCAAAATCCTAGAGACGTTTTTGGTCGTGGTATCGTTGAAATTGATGCATATTTCTTATTCACTTTATGAACTATTTTTATTGCGCTTGTTGTTGATGGTCGGAGGTAAGCAGGATTGCTGAACTTCGAACTATCACTTCCGGTTCCGGTGTTAGGCGATTGGTCACCAGAATCTATATTCATAGAATATGGCCGTCGTGCGTAGACTGACAGATCTACAGACACACGGGAATACTCCCCGAACACGCCAGACTTGATGAACTGAAACTCAGGTTGTTGTTTTATATATTCAGCTGAAAAGCGTCTGGTTGGCAGAACCGTATCCATACTGCCATAGAACCGATACTATCCCACTCCCTTAATATCCAAGGATTAGGGGTGATTTTCCATGGGCTAGGACACGGCACATGAACTGTCGAACATGCTTCATAAATATGACGTACAGTGGGTATTTACAAACACGTGGAATGTGCAGTTGTTTCATGCAAATCTTCAAATTGTCATTACAGTACTGTTTGAACACTTCTCTTCACTTTCTTCTGGTAAGCATCAGTTATTAATAATGTGTCGCCTGATGAGTGAGTATTGTTTTACGCCGCTTTTAGCAATATTCCAGCAATTGGCGGGGGACGACAGAAAAGGGTTTCACACATTGTCGCCTGGTGCCTTTTCCTTCTATACCAGTTCCGTCTTTCTGGCAATATTATCCCCAACGTGCCTGTTCTCAAACGGCGGAATCGTCCGCTCAGTATTGCTTGATTTTGTCCTATGTGCAGACTGTTAACTTCTATGTTGATACCCAACTTCACTTTCCACCAAAGGGAAAATTCGTACACTCTTGGTGAAGACGCCAAAACGAGACTCACACGTTCAAATCATTGAATCAATTAATCCCGTGTCTTCTGATCACCCGAGAACAGGAACATCCGAGATCAGGAACATCAGTGAACACTGTTTGGCCTCATCTTCATCTGAACAAGAAAGTCTAACCAACCACGTCTTCAGAAAGTCTCGCAGGGTATCCTCCCCCACACACTCAGTCTGTGGTCCTCTCTCCCTGTGGAAGACCCACGGCGCGCGTGGCTGGTATTATTTCATGTTTAATGACCATCATAAATCATATCTCGACATTGTCATAACCATCATTAGATGTGGTTGTATTTGTTCAGGGAGTCGAGTGTCATTTACAGGTAGTAAACATGTCAGGCCTTCAACCTGGCGTTGTTATCAAAGCAGTTCCTCGACACCTTTCTACTCCGTGACGATTTACAACGTTGATCACAACGACACACGTCCCGCATCGCGTTCCTGGCCTGTGGTTCGAATAATATTGAAATCACGAATCAATTTCACTATTTCATGTTCACTCCAAACTGATAACCACAAAGTTTGTTTTTTATGAACCATTGCGACACTTCATTTTTCCCTAGCGTTTGAATATAGCAAAGAAAGACGTTAATGGTCACAATTATCGACACCTCGTTTATCTTCTACTCTGCGACATTCTACATTCTAAGGAAGCGCTGCATTATGGGATGAGCCCACATCTCGGGAGACTAAGTCACGTGGTGTCTTGAATTGCAGGGGGCATGTCCCGATCACGCAGTTGGCAAGTACTTTAATCTGCTGTTGATGAGCGTTGCTGTAACCAGACGCTAATATCGATAGAACCTAATCAACCAATAAATCGATAGAATCCGGTGTAGTTCTTCTTCATAGCGTGGCTGTAAATACAATTATAGAAATTATAGATAATTATAGATAATACGAGGATAGCTGCTGCTGGCACGCACAGGTGAAATTAAATATTTAATTAATTTTTTTAATTTTGAAAGCACTGATGTAGCTTTGTCTTGTCATAAAGACTGAATAAATTCAGTTTAAGGTGAGACTTACTCTGCTCTCTCCGCCTTGGTATCTGCTAAATATGCCAGCATTGTTAGACTAACATCTAGTCTCTGAAATGAACATATCTTACACAAAAAAGTTGCTCAATTATCTTGATAAAAATATGATAATAAGGAGCCCAGAATCTCTTCAATTTCAGATACTACATTAATCTAGACTTGCCAAACATTATAGACTTGCATGGGCTGTATTGGATATATTTGTATCAGGGTCCGTATGATAGACTACCAGTGTTGTGCACTGTCCTCGTTGTGAAAATATAACCGTTTGTGGCTTTCTGAGATTTCAACAACATCATATGATAACGACACTGTAAATAATTATGAATCTTGTAATATTAGTCTGGTGATCTGAATGAAGGATATATTCCAATACTGCCACAAGCTCAAAATACAAATGATTTTTCAAAGTGGCAAATTAAACAGTGGGGCTACTGTTTACACATGGAAATTGGATTGGATCAACCTTGAAGAAATTGTATTGATCCTTGTTGCCTCTCACTTACATCGTGGATTAAATCTCATTTCTGTCGGTCTGTATCTATATGTCTATATCTGCCAAATTCAATTAATAATCGTCGCGAGTTGCATCGAAATTGTGCTAAAGATATTTTATAGTTTAGGTCTTTCATGGGAATTTAGAAGACATAAAACTTTCATTGATAACGACTTTTTTATTGTTTGTAACGACAATACAGAAATTGTTATGTAAAGATTGTGACGTGACTGTGATGTTCATTGCCTTGACCTGTACGTTCCTCAAGTCCGTCCATTTTCCAAGCTTACAGACCCTTGCGTATCTTACTGACTTGTCACAGCGAAAGATTTACTCAAATGACTCAAGTTTTGTGAGCACCACACGGGTGATATCCGGGTATAGTGCTGGCAGACCAAGGACCATAGCCTTGGCGAATCTGGATTTGAACATGGGACAAGGTTAAACCAAAGGGACATAACTCTGCCTCTGTGTTGCCACTGGGACTGACCATGTGTTGTGCCGATTTATAGTGCTAGCTCACTGAGACACAATGACGCAGTTGAACATAAATACCCCACTCAGACACAGTATACTGACTCCGAGCCGACCTGTCCTTGTTTTAGCCCCTTAATGCCGAGCGCCAGACAGGGTAACAACAAGTACCATCTTTAAACGTCTTTTGGTATGATGCGGCCGGGGATCGAACCCCGGACCTTCCTCTCTCCGGGCGGACGCTCTACCACTAGACCACGGAGGCGGTCCCCGTTACGAGTACAGCAACCCCTGTCACCGACATGCATCTGTCCCCGAGGTCATTGATAACAACTGTTATCGCTGTTATCTTGTTGGTATGGGCGTCTGTATCTACACGGATGTGAAGATATATGTACGTTGTCATAGTCTATGTGATCAAACTGGCCCAAAGTTCAAGGTGCAATATTATATAAGTGTTGAAGAAAGGAAACTCCACGAAATTTGCACCAATTGGCATTTGTATTTCTGTGTTCTCTAAATGGGAGGTTCCTCGAAGTTCTTGGAGGTATTGGGTTTACCCCGACTGTGCTAGCTGGGAATGCCATCATCTTAAGTTCTATGTCACTCTGAAACAAAACGATGGAGAAATCGAAAGCAAAATCGAATTCAGCCTGCCTCTGTTCATCAACTCAAGCTTTGATCGTAGCTGTTGTCTGTTCTCTTTACACTGGGATATTTGTCTGGGTTCAGTCCAGCTCTTTCTACACCTCGAACACCGCCATGTTGATTCACGTGACCTCTCATCTCGGGCAGACGACAGATCTGGTCGTCATGGCAGACGACACTGTGTTGAGTTTGAAGGAGAAGATTGCGGAGGAAGAGGGTACTCCCGTTCAGCATCAACGTCTCATCTTCCTCCACCAAACAATGGACGACAGCGGGACAATGGCGGAATACCGGATCAGGAAGGGCTCTGTCATCCATCTTGCCCAAAGCATGATGGGTAACAGCGGAATTCGGATATTGGTCTATAAGGAGGCGCACACGACATACAGCCTGATTCGTGTGTATGGTACTGAGACTCCGCTTGTCGTGAAACAGAAGGTGTCCGATGTTGTGGGTGTAGCGGTTGGTGATATGGATGTTGTGTTTCACGGACGTCATCTCTGTGACTACAGCAGGTTGTCAGAGTTGAACCTTGACCCCTGGTTGGTTTATAGGCTATCGGTAGTTCCGGTGTATGGGCGTAGGTATCCGGAGATTGCCGAGGTGATGTACGAGCTGCGCTTGGCCGTTTTATGAGAAACTGAGATGGTTATGACGTCATGACATTACGACGTGTTAGACAGCATTCCAGCTGTATATGACAACGGGAACGTCGTGAACGTCAAACACACAGTGACAGAGACATTAAGTATGTGTGTGGCAATGAACGCATCAACCATATCACAGCGTCTTGTAAAAGAGTTTCAGTTAAACTCTTGATTCAAATATACCAAGAGCAGTTTAATAACTTCTTTTACCTTTTTCATTACGCTTATGGCAAGCAGTTCATCTCTTGTTTCAACCATTTCTTGTGTACTTAACGTCTTAACTATAGCATGTAACATTTGTTCAACCAAAATATTATCATTTAACGTTTTGTTTCAACAAAAATGGCCATAGTCAAACTCTTGTTTTAATTATATCGTGGGCAGTTCAACTTTGTTTCAACCATCTTATGAGTAGTTAACCTCTTGTTTCAACCATATACTGTATAGTTAACTTCGTTTCAACTAGTGCGTGTCCAGTTAACCTCTTATTTCAATGATATCGTGCGCAGTCAATCTCTTGTTTCAACCACATCGTGCATAGTTAACCTTTTGTTTCAACCATATTGTTTCAAACATATACTGCGTAGTTAACTTCGTTTCAACTATAGCGTGTCCAGTTAACCTCTTATTTCAATGATATCGTGCGTAGTTAACCTTTTGTTTCAACCATATTGTGCGTAGTTAACTATGTTTCAACCATAGTGTGTCCAGTCAATCTCTTGTTTCAACCATATCGTGCGTAGTTAACCTCTTGTTTCAACCATATCGTGCGTACGTCATCTCTTGTTTCAACCATATCGTCTCAGTTAACCCGATGTTTTAATAACATCGTGCCCAGTTAACCTCGTTTCAGCTATATCGTGCGTAGTCAACCTCTTGTTTCAACCCTGCCGTGCTTAGTGAATGAGTATCGGTTTACGACGCTTTTAGCAATATTCCAGCAATTTCACGGCGGGGAGACACCAGAAATGGGCTTCACACATTGTACCCAGGTGAAACATGAGATATCCAAGCTCGTCGTCAGAGGCGACAAAATGGCACGGTTTTCAGGCGCTGGTTAGTTGGCCTTTTGTCTCAACTGAGGTACGTGTATGACATTAACTATGTGTCAGTGACTTCACCAAGGCGTACGCTAAGACAATGCTTCTGGCCAATGTCAACATCGTACTTGAACTTTGTTTACCTAGAATACACACTTATCATGTCTGACATTTGAGTGACCCCAGAAACCGGACTCTATTAAATATCAGCACGTTTGATAATATTATGTTCTCCTTCAATAAAGTACCCAACCCATACCCAACCATACACTCCGCCTTGAATGGCCCAAATCATATACGCGTTCAACATAAAACGCGTATTGTTAGTTCATAGACTGCTGTCCTGACGCCCGAATAGAAGGGCGGTCTTAGGGCCACACCAGAGCGGCTGGACGACAATAAGTTGTATGGAAAGTACAATCACCGGTGTTCAATACGGCTGCAGACCAAATATGGATCATATTGATCGCCAGTATGAATTAGGGCGAATGTTTCTGGGGATAGATCTAGGGCGGGAGGTGGTATATATTTTACGTCCGCTTTGAAGAATCTAAAACGGACACTATTTCCTGTTCCAAACACTTGGAGTGAGTGAGTGAGGGATTTGGGTTTAACGCCGCTTTTAACAGCATTACATCTATATCTCGGCAAGACGGCTTAATGTGGGAGGAAAGCACGAAGTGATGCAGGTCTCAGACGTTTCCCGCTTCGGTGAAACCCACGAGCACGGGTATGGTGCTGACAAACCTGGAAACATAATCGGGGCGAACCGGGATTCGAACCCACAATCATAGGTTTCTGGCGTGCCCAAGGGACGCAACTCTGCACAGCGAATCGCGGCGCCTTAGACGACTGGGCCACCCGTGCCCCCACCAAATACTTGGAATGGCCATCAAATAAACATTAATGTAAAGCTTTTACTCGGAAAAACTATGTTTTTTCTTTTCTTATCAGTAAATAACTAAGTGTTGTGATTGCTCAATTGACCGCTAGACAGAGAGAACGGACCGTACGGCCAGCCAACACGACTTTACCAAACCAACCGTCGTTACAGGAATAGCTCATCCTACTAGTTCGACAACAAGTTACAATCACTGCAGCTTCCCTTGACAATAACAGTTCGTACCTTTGCTTAACCTTAACAGAAATTTCTGATCTTGCATATAGAACTATTCCTTGCTAACACACTTATTAAGTATATGTACTTTAGTGATAATATAATCTCTCTATTATAATACTTTGACTTTAAAGTAGAAAATCGAGCATGTACACGAGATACACCATATTCACAGGTCAGTTGTACATGATCATTGAAACGAGCAGGTCGTCTCACAGAACAGACTCACATGCGCGTCAACAGCTGACTGTCCGTCAATTCCTTGTTCAGCGTCGGATGTTACGGATGGTACGAATGTTACGGATGATACGGATGGTACGGATGATACGTGGTTTACGGAAGTTACTGATGATACGGAGGTACAGATGGTACGGTTGTTACCAATGTTACGGATGTTACGAATGTTACGGATGATACGGTTGTTACTGATGTTACGCATGGTACGGATGATACGGATGATACGGAGGGTACGGATGTTACGAATGTTACGGATGATACGGTTGTTACGGATGATACGGATGTTACGAATGTTACGGATGATAAGGTTGTTACTGATGTTACGGATGATACGGGGGGTACGTATGATACGGTTGTTACTGATGTTACGGATGATACGGAGGAACAGATGGTACAGTTGTTACTGATGTTGCGGATGGTACGGATGATTCGGATGATACGGAGGGTACGGATGATACGGTTGTAACTGATGTTACGGATGATACGGAGGAACAGATGGTACCGTTGTTACTGATGTTGCGGATGGTACGGATGATTCGGATGATACGGAGGGTACGGATGATACGGTTGTTACGGATGATACGGAGGAACAGATGGTACAGTTGTTACTGATGTTACGGATGATACGGATGATACGGAGGGTACGGATGTTACAAATGTTACTGATGATACGGTTGTTACTGATGTTGCGGATGATACGGATGGTACGGATGTTACTGATACTGTACTACTGTCACAGTCATTCTACCTGTCATCAGAGGTCCTCACCAGACGCCGATTTCTTCAAAGTGTCTCCCCATCTTCAGCCTCATCCTATATGATCTTCACGCTTCACTGACACTGATTGATGCCATCTCCTATTTCGTTGTATACGAACTGTCTCACCATCTAAATGAAGCATTGCATTGGAACTCTTGTCATCTTGGTTCTTCTGACTAATCTGTTTCTGTTTCAGTGTCTCTTGTATCACGTGACAATTGATGACTTAATGTACAAGCTATTGGATGGTAGGTAGTGTTGACCTGAGACGTCTGCTAATGAGTATTTGTGCTGGTGATCCAATATCGTCCAAAGGCGTATTTCTCTGTTCCAGCATACTGAGATAAGGATCTTTATTGTCCAGTTTGACCTTCTCATTTCGCAACAAGTCCATTTGACTGTGAATGAATGGGTGAGTGAGCAAGTATTGTTTTACGCCACTTTAAGCAATATTCCAGCAATATCACGTCGGGTACACCAGAAATGGGCTTCACACAGTGTACCCATGTCGGGAATCGAATCCGGGTCTTCGGCGTGACGAGCGAACGCTTAAACCACTAGGCTACCCGACCGCCCCTGACTGTGAATGAAAAGGACTGACAATTATATGTTCAAATCCCATTTCTCCAGCAAAGTCTTAAAGAAACTTCTTTGATGAAAACTGCGGACAACTATCACTTCTAATTTTCATGGGTATGCCACGTCTTGCAAAAATAGACTTTGTGTGGTTAAGTTCTCAGCAATATTCCAGCTTTATGGCGGCGGTCTGTAAATAATCGAGTCTGGACTAGACAATCCAGTGATTGATATCATGAGCATCGATCAACGCAATGGGGATACGATGACATGCATCGACCAAGTCAACGAGCCTGACCACCCGATCCCGCTAGTTGCCTCTTGCGACAGTTACAGTCACCTTTTATGGCAAGCATCGGTTCCTGAAGACCTATTCTAACCCGGATCTTCACGATTGCACTATCAAGCAGTCAGATCCATTCAGAGAGTGAGAGCAAGTGTGTGTGTGTCTATGTGTGACTGTGTGTTTGTATGTGTATTATGTATGCATGTGTGTGTGTGTGTGTGTGTTTGTGTCTGTTCTGTCTGCGTATGTATGTGTGTGTGAGAGAGAGAGAGACATACAGAGAGAAGAGAGAGAGAGAGAGAGAGAGAGAGAGAGTAAATATACCAAATTTCGATATTCACGTGTATGTACGACTAGAGACCAGACAGGCTCCAAAGAGAGTTGCCTCCCCTAGTACAGCTGCGCGCTCATCACTTTAAATTTTAGTTGTTATTTCTATATGAAGCGTCATACTAAATAGGCGCATTTTGAATTTTATGTTATATTTCCAAATTCCAAACACTGCGTGAAAAATTCGAAAACAAATGAGATTGACAAAATGTGCTCTACACATCAACTGTTTATATGATAGGCTATTTATATGTAAGTAGGAAATTAACATATTCTGTCGAGGCATGTTACATGCAGCTTTTAAGGCAAATTTGAAACCGAGTGCGCGGCGAGGTCTTTCAGTTGTTTAACTAACAAATCTGCAGGTAACGTAGCTCTTTTTTGAAATACAGTATAGGTATCTCCATTCTACGCTGAAAAAATTGAACGCGAAAACGTGATATTTTGTTTGTAATTTAACCCTGCACTCTCTAATATCCTTGCCACGTGACGGTTGTGTGTCAAACAATCGAGTCAGGACCAGACAAACCAGGGGTTGATATTATGAGCAACGTCTAACGCCGTCGGAATACGATGACACACAATCAACACTCAAGGCGCCTGTCTACTCCATCCATTTAGTCGCCTCGAGGGAAAAACCAAAG